TCATTCCCTTCAACAGATAATGAAAGTCGAGCTTGTTATTTTAATGAAATCTTTGAGTAGGATTTCTTGTTCACTTCAACACTTGGGCAAGTAAATATGGCAGAATGAGACTTCACATCATTACCTTTTCAGTCTGTGAACCTTCAGAACAAAAGAAATGATGTAAGATCTTATTTTGCCGCCTTTGCTAGCCCAGACAGTACAGTGAAAAAGATGTTTTGGTAGTTAATGCATTTTGCATATGAACCTAATTTCATAGGTACTTGCAGTCCTGAAGCTAACTTACCTATTTTCTAAGTATATGAGTATATTGAGGCCACTATAGTAATACATACCCATAACACCACCACAAACATTTCATAATGACACATATGGAAAAGAATGCTGAGGATGTGTATTGATGTCAAGAGGACGGAGGAGGAATAAGATTGAGACAGGAAAGACAAATGTGGAAGTAAATCCAATATTACAAAGGGTGGTTTGTGGGAGGAAATTATGACAGCAAGACGGTTCAGAGAAATGGATGGAGATGGGTAGAGTTAGCTTGTTGCCAAATCTAGCTAGATATTGGAAATGATCTTGCTGACAAATAGTAAAATATTGTTTCTATAAATCTATACAAATCAGAATGTTGTTTTTGAACATGTTTTAACCTTATTGCCATTCAAATAATAACTGCTTTGAATATGTATGTTTACTGCTTCATCCTGAGGGTTTAAAGCCCAATCCTGGTGCTATATTTTTTAGGTATAGTAGATCACATGATAATCAAATTGCAATGAAATCATTTAAAGCACCTTTCTCATCTCCATGATCACTGCAGATGGTGCCTCTTTGGCAGAGCAATGAAAAAGAGGGAAAATATATTGGTAGATTGGAACCATTACATAAAGACAAGTACAATGCAACAGAAGCAAAGCAACTGCAAATACTTTCTAACTGTGTAAATCACAGACACACCGAGGAAGAGGACCTTCCCACATTTACCCCATAGCCTAGTAATAACCCTACTGTAGACCTCCCACCCCAGAGGAAGCTTGAACCTCCATCTCCCACTTCCGAGAAAATACCTTGATGATCAGAACATGGACTATGCCTTACCAAAAGCCATCTCCACCTCTCATGTTGAAGCCATCCCACTGGGAAGCCAATAGAGGAAAGCACATGGGCCAGTAGAAGAAAGAAAGTTAAAAAGAATGTGGCCTAGTGAGATGGGTAGTGCTTTGGCCCTTGTTCTGAGTAGCGTTTCTGCCTAGCACTGATGTGTCTCACTCCTAGGCAGATGTCACAAGTGCTAAGCTGAATGGTATGAAGACCCCTCTCCAGCATCAAACAGTTGCTATTTTTTTAGCTTTCTAAAAGCTAACATTTGGAGGATTTACACAGAGGTTGCCCACCTGCCCAGGAGAAACAAGATCACAAAACAATGTAAGCAGCCACACGCTTCAACAAAGTGAGCTGTACTGGAAGGAGTAGGATTGAAAATCTGCATAAATGGGACAATTGCTAGTTACAAGGACAAAGATAGCCATATAAGTCTTCCTTACTTCCTACCCTCCAACTGGCAGTTATATTTAGGCCCTAAAATATGAGTTTTACTTTCCTTATCTTGAGACTCCCAAGAATTTTTCCAGAACACTAGGGAAAAGTCACCTTGCTATTCCTAGGATTGATATATAGTTAAAAATAAAATTAAAAAAAAACATGATACTGAGAGCCATACTGGAAGAAGCATAAATAAAAGAGAAAAATAGGGAATTAGGATCAATTATAGAACATAATATAGGGGGTAAAATGCAGAACAAATAAAAAATACAACTTTTTTTTTTTTAATTTACTGGAGTCCAAATCTTAAAGAAATAAATTATTTGCTGGTTGCCTTTAAAAGCAATGTTTCCTTTGAGACTATTCTTTCCACGACTCTCTTTATTCTGCCAAACATGAAAAGTGTCATCCCTGCCCATTTGTAACATATAATTCTTGTTATGTTTATGCTCAGGACAGCTGGTAAAATAATACAACCTGCTAAAGATTCTGGGATTTTGTGAAATGAAATGATGAAAATCATTCCATGGAACATTTCTTCTTCAACTGAAAAGACTGACAGCACATTATTTGTGCCACACAGTAGCAAAATGTAAAAAAAAAGGAATAATGACTCAGGATCTTGGCTTAAGTTGCCCAGTTTTATTCAATAAGAATTAAAAAGGAGAACATTTGTTATAGGTTATAGAAACAAGTACTACCTGAATGAATCAAACCAACTTATTTTTTCAGGTTCCCTGATTGATTTTCCACTAATGTAGTTCTGAATTTAGTTTGTATATCAGAAACTTGGGATGCTGAATAAATATTAGCTGATTTATTTATTTTTTTGTTGAAGACCATAAAAAACCCCGACAAAAATGTTCCTTAGTGGGTTTTTTGTATAAAGATCCTGGGGTAGTACAGGACCTTTGAAGAGTAACTGTATCTTGCCACTTTTGGTGTCCAGTCCTTATTCATGTGCATAGACTTACTATTTATATTAAAATATGGAAATCCTTCCCAAATGAATGGAACATAAAAGAGAATTGAAGAGAACAAAGAGGGAATCTGAATATAATTATATAAAGTCAAATAAGAAATTACTTTTGTGTAACAATTTGACATAAAACCACCCAGTCTTGTATTACTCCTTGTATTACTGAGGAGTAAAGGGAGCTATTAAAGCAGAGAAGCATATTGTAGAAATGATTGATTTGTATCAGCTTCCAACATACATATTTTGAGGAGATACATATTTTGGAATTACTCATTCCAGGTAATAAAGATGAGGTACTATCAGATACTAAGGGCTCAGATGGAGTGGAGGACTGGACTGAACTGATATATTAAAAACTAAGAAGTCATAGGAGCAGATGGTTATCATCCAGTAAGTCTTTAGAGAACCTTAGAATAAAATATCTGAGCTGCAATCAATCATGAAGCTACTAAACTAGAGGATTGACTAGAAGGCAGCAAATAGTGTAACTAGCTGACCAGAGGCAGTCAGGGTGATCGAGGGAATTACAAAACCATGAACCATAACCAGTAATAATAAAACAAAGTTATAAAACAGTTGGATGAACATGAGATGGGAAGAAGAAGCTATCAAGGAAATGTACATTAGCGTACAGTAGTGTATCAGAGGTCTGTAAGAAAACACCTAAATACCTGGCTTGATAAGAACTAGCTGACATATTTTGACTTTCCTAAAGCCTTCAATAAAGTTCTTCTAAAGAGTCTGCTAGGGAAACTATGTAGTAATTTGGTTACAGGTGAAATACCATCTTGGGTTAGAAACTGGTTATGACAGGAAAGAGAAAGAAGGAAAAAAAGTCAATTTTCAATATGGTTAAAGGTCACTAGGTGAGGCACATAGTTATCTAGTTGGGAAGATTTACAAAAGCCAGTTGTTCATTCATAAATATATCTTGTTTGGGAACTAGAATAATTATAGCTATGTTAGGGCTGCATCACCTATCAATCTAATAGGACCTTTTTTTAGGAGAGAAAACTACCTTGGGCTGAACACAGCTACATTGCTTTTGGTTCTGCAATTAGTGCATCCAGCAGTAGCTAGTGTTTTTCTACTCCCTCTAGGCATATCCATTTCATCCTGTCTTTATTTGGATTCTACAATTGTCTCCACTTTGCCTGTGTGGAATCCCTTTTGGAGCAAAATATAAGCAAAGTATAGACATCCAAAAAGCTCAAGGCATTGAAGGACTGCCCGTGGGGATGCCAATTAACTAATTAATCCAGAGGGTTGTTAATCCTCTATGACCCACAGGTAGTCAGGTTCGGGGCATTAAAGTAAGTTAATTTCCCTGAGCATTGATCTACTGTCCAACCCCACTCAGAGTTAGGAAGAGTAACTACACACTACAACACAAGTAGGTTGAGCAATATAAGCTGTATTACACACCAAACCCACACAACTACCTGATGCAATATTCACACCTGAGCTGCAACACAATAAAATACACCCAATGGGACAATAACCTGATGCACATCCCAACTTCAATGCCCCTGGTCACTCAACTACACATTACAATGAGCTTTGGTCACTCCACAGTTAACTGCTGTGCAAGTTCACAGATAACCCAGAAATGACAGATGGGAGCAAGAAAACCCTGGGCCTAGTCAGCAGGAGAAATCCTCTGACAATCCCTGAGGATTTCTAGCTTTTCCCTGCTTAGGAACTCAGCACCTCAAATAGGGAAAGGGTGATTCTTTACCCAACTGTAGCTTCCCAACAACCAGGTCACATCAAGGAACGTGCACTCAATGAACTCCTGCATCCTGAGAGCCCTGAATCAGAACTGTTCAGCCACAGTGAGAGCAAGGCCGACCCCGAGCCCTGGACAGGATTTTTAGGCTTCTAATCATGCCATCTGTCATTCACCCAATGGTCCAATCATCACCCTTTTCACAATACCAAATCAGAAGTTTGAGTCTAATCTAAATCAATTACATTTGAGTGCACATCAATCCAGGTCTCAGACTGGGTTCTGCCATTTTTAAACCAGTCTGTGTGTGGTGAACTTCTGTACTGTTATGGGTTTAGACCAGTTTCCAAGAACATATACCAGTAAAAGTGTAATGTCTTTCCCTGGCCATTGGATTAAGACCTGCAGACCTAGTTATGGTGACGAGACATGAGCTGCCAAGGCAGTGAATGACCCAGAAGCATCAGGAACCGCAACCCTGAGGCTTATCAGGAAGCATGTCAGCGGCATGGTTGTGGGAAGCCTGGCGCATTGCTGCCACACTTTATCAGTGCATACCGGCTCCAGCTGGCTGGGTGTACACTGGAGCACATCATAAAGATGTGCCTGGCCCCAATAGAAGAATAGCCCAGAAGAGGAATTACAGCGGAGAAAAAGCCGGCTACCAGTATAGCTTGCCCCGGCAGGGGCAGATGGAAGGAATCGGTGGCAGTTCCTGCCTGTAAAGACTCAGAGGATTCTATTTACCTGGGAGATAACAAATGAGAGCTTCAGACCTGCTGCTGACCCAGCCAAATAGCAAGAAGCCCTCGGTATCCTGTAGAGAGAAGGAATCATGAGTTGCTTGAGGCACAGTGAAAGGATTCTCGTGCAAGCCTCAAACAACATATAGAGTATGTAGCCCTTAGTAGTTTAATGAGAAGTGAAGCCCCAACTGGGGGCATAGGACTGTGAATTAGACTAGCCTGACCCCCTGGAAGACTGAATTGATTGGGAGCTTTTGGTTTAGACTGACATTGCACCAAGTACATGGGGACTTGGTGGTGCACTGGTGACCCTAATAACCTAATAAAGGCTGACACCATCAGGTTGGTGTTTGGACAGGGTGCAAGGGGAGGTGGAGCCCCAAGGAACACCACTTGACTAAACAATTAATGGCACATTAAAACAGAAACATTATCTTTGATATGTAACATCAAAGCGTGGCAGGAAAGACAAGGGTCCATGCCATTAGCAGTTGGCATCTGTGGTCAAACTGTCAGGTCCTAAAGGTGAGCCCACTGAAGACATCCCCTCAAGATGTGGGCATCTGCTTAAGGTAACACAGGGATGTTTACACTGATCTACTTCCTCCTGGAGTCCACAATAATCCTTCCTTTTATTTCACAGACTCATGGGAAAATACTGCTAGAAGCAACCGCGAGAAACGTTCTAGTCTGACCTCAAGCTCAAGGTAGGATCAAAAATTTCAGACAAATGTTTGACTAACTTGCACTTAAAAATGCCTTGTGATGTGGATTACCACAATTTCTGTAGGTAATGTTTTCCAGTGCTTAGCCCCCTTCCTCCTCAAAAAAAGATTTATGATTTCTTAAGAGTCTTCATGTACTAAATATGGTGTTAGAAAGTGGAAGATAATATTTAGTACATGAAGACTCTTAAGAAATCATTCCTCCATCTTCTTTTCTTTAGACTAAACAATCCCAATTCTTCCAATCATTCCTTGTGTGACAAGTTTTCTATATCTCTAGTTTTTTGCTCTTTTCTAAAAAATATCTGTCTTAACTCTTTGCAATTTGCCAACAACATTTCTGAAAAGCTCATGATTTAACCAAGCAGGTATCTGGCTTAACTTCCTATTGTTCCTTTGCTTTGGGGTGACCATCCTCCCATAGGATTCTGCATAGCAGTTCTCTGAAGTTAATATCTGCTTTTCTGAAATCCCATGCTTTTATCCTGCTTTATTGCTTTCCATAACATCACAAACTCATTTCTTCTCTTTTGTCACTGAAGTTGACCCCCGCCCCGCCTCCAGATTCTCCAGCGATTTTTCCTTATTATTCAGAGGAAAATCAAGAAAACCACTTCTAGTTCATGTATGCACCAGAAATTTGCACAATTTAAGAAATGCTGAATTTCTTGTCCTGTCCTTCCAGAAGCATTTGATAAAGTAGGTTGTTGCTTCTGAGTGCTTGTGCCCATCTGAACCAATTAGTCTGAAGGTGTCACCCTGCCCTGTCTTCTGCATAACTTCAGACTATTATGGTTAACCACCTTCCCACCAACACATATCAATAAACATTAATTCCTGTGACTTGGATACTTGGTTATTTGTTTTTAAAAAGTTTTAGCCACCTCTTTTTCTACCTTGTTTGTTGATCTATAATAAACATCCACCATGACACCACCTTGGCTTTTTTGTGCCTTTCAAAAGTCTTCCCTCCTAATTTGTTAATTTAGTGTTAGCTGGATTAGGAATTTAAGGTGTGTCTATATGTGCACTTTAATCTGCATTTTAATGTGCATTAAAGTGTCACTAAAAAACTGCTTTTTTGCTAATGTGCATTAAAATAGGATAATGTGCATTAAGCATCACTTCAAAACTGTGCTATTCAGTTAATGTGCATTGAGATAGGCTAATGTTCATTTTCCTAGTACCTCACATTGGAAGGTGCCTATACATGTTCATTGAGGCTGCTCTGATGCACTGTAATTACAGTGTGTTGGAGCAGACCTGATTAACAGAGTCTCCTGGAGCATGGTAATTACTGCACGCTCCACTGTCACATGTATCAGCATCCCTGCACTGAAAAATGCCAGTTGGGGTACTTTAAAGCGCATTTGATGAGCTTTTGTTAAAGAGTCCCTGGCCACCATTTCTCAGCATGGGGACACTGATACACATGACACTCCAGGTGCTTTAATTAGAGTGGCTCTCGGAGACACTCTAATTAAAGCATCCCCCTCCCTGCCCACCCCCCCAAGCATGTGTATAAATGCCTGGAGGTACTAGATTTAATGAGCATTAACTAAAGTGTGTTAATGCATGTGTAGATGTGCCATTTGATTGTAAACTCTTTTGGGAAGGGAATGTTTCTTAGTTGCTATTTGTATAGCAGCTAACATACTGAGAGCTCAGTTTAATTGAAACTTTTCAGTAGTAATGATGATGATGATGATGATGATGTTGATGATGATTCAGTGAAATGCCCTAAGATTCAATAGCAGAATGAGTGTTCAATAAGAAGCAGGGAATAAACAGTGTGGTGTCAAAATATGAAATTGATTGAAAAATATTTAAAATGAAGCAAGAGTAGAGAAGCATGTAATGGGATATCATAAACCTAGTTGATTTGGCAGCAGTGTGGCAGATTAAATTCAGTGTTGACAAATGCCAGGTAATATACATTGGAGGGAATAATTTGAATTTCTAGAGACAACCACAGGTTCTAAATTAACTGTCACCAGTTAGAAGAATTATAAAAGAGAACCGTGGATCATATATATATATATATTACATAGGAGTACAAAATAATATTAAAATATTAAAAAGACATTTACTGAGAAGTGTAATCTGGAAAAACATGTTTCATCCTGGTATGCTTGGGTAGAAACCTGAATCATTAAAGTAAAAAATGAAATTCCCATTAATTTCAAGAGGAGCAGATTATCAGGCTTTTGTCCCCTTATATGCTATTTCTCCCCCCCTCCCCCATACAGCATAAAAAAGGACCTACAAATAGAATAATAAGAACATTTTTGTATAAAGGTCAATTGAAAAGATGGGAAACTTTATACAACACAGTACTGTCTTGGACCTCCTCGATTATTGAGTTTAGTTACCTACTATTGCAAGCAATCATGGCATATAATCCAATTACATTGATCTAGCTGTATCTTAAAAGTAGTTATGAAACACATGGAGAAAACCTATTATTGTTCCAGAACCTCACTATTGTACTTAGAAAGGAGAAAAAAAATAAGAAATGTCAGGATGACATTATATACTATTATGGATGCAACAGAAAAAAAATGTTTAATTAGTAAATTAAAACAAAAATAGTTGTCCTTTTTCATAATGCAAAAATAAGGAACGGTTCAAGACACTGGTTGGGAACATATATCAAAATGATAAAAAATGCAAAACAGATGAGTCTGTAGAACTCATTGCTACAATATACTACTTAGTTGACAATTTTATAAGACTAAAGAAAGGTTGAAACAGTTACAAGAAAGCAGATATTTGAAAGGTTAAATTTAAGGTTATAAACAAGGTTATAAATTTAAGGTTATAAACAAGTGAATGATATATAAAACCTCTTCCTGGATAAGCCAACAAATATATTTAAACTCATTATAAACTCACCACCATGTGTCTTTAATCTTCCTTTATGCCATAAAATTGTTGGTGATAGGATACCAAGATAATTCCACCATTGCTCTGTTTTAAGCTATGTCTAAAAAAAAAAACAATTTACATTTCTGGAGATTAAAAAGCTTGCTACATTCTTTAATGAGTGTTATGAGTCACACCAACAAGCAATTACAGATTTGCAGATGTCTGATGGAATAGGCACCATGTGCTTGCTTCAGATTCCTTACCACATAACAACAAAACCAGCTAAAGATCAAGAAGAAATGTCACAAAGACTATAAATAAGGACCCATTTCTCAAGTAGAGTTGTTCACATACATAAGTGCATGCACCTTCAGACCCTTAATTACTAAGTTCAATTATATCACTAATTACGTTGAAAATTTCAGTGCAGGTGTAAACTAAACAACCTCAGATTTAGTCCTCCCAGATGTATTTTATCCCTCATCGAGATGCAAAATAGATTCCTTACTACTAATTCCCACCTGTCAAAAACTGAAAGTGCTTGTGTGCACAATTACCATGTTTAACATAAGTAGAAAATGCATATTCTTTCTTTCTTTCAAGATGGCCACCGACAAGTGAAGCCCTTCTAAGCTCCTGCAGCTCGGGTGCCTTTTGCGCATTCCCTGCACTCCATGCCCCCCTTTTCCTCTCCCCATCCCCCAAAAAACCTTGCCTCTCCCCACCCTGTCCTTGGGGACCCCCTCCCTGCCCCTTCCCCCTGCTTTCTGAGCGTTTTTCCCCTGGGCTCTGGCAGCCTCCTTTGCCTCTGCCCCTCCCCCACCCCACCTGAGTTCTCCCTGTGATTCCTGCCGCCTGCCTCCCCCAGGGCCCCTTACCTTGGTCCCTGCCATCTCCTCCTGCCTTGGGGCTTGTCCTGAGCCCCTGAAGGGTTGCTTTGCCCCCCCTCAGGCCAATTTTGGGGTGTCTTCAGCCCCCTCCCTGTCCCAGTCCCTGGCGTCAGCCTGAGGCTTTTTTATTTTTTTTTCCTCCTCTCCCTCCTGTGGGAGAGTTAACCCTCTCCTGCCCAGGATGCCTGCCAGCAGCCAAGGCACTCGGCATGGGGATGTCTCTGCGGACCTTCCCCTCAGCCATGGCCTGCGGGTGCACGCCCCTCTCTATGTCAGGGTGGAGGACTGCGCCGGAGCTCTGGCAGACCTGCTGGGACGACGGAGCATCTGGTACTCCTCCCGAGTCAATTCAGTGCCCATCGTATATTTGAGTTCTCCCAGCCTGGTGAGGGAGGTGTGTGTGGCAGGGCTGGACATCTCGGGGGTCCACCACTTGGTTAGACCCATGGAGACCCTGGCAGTGCGGGTGGTGGCCTCCAACGTGCCCCCGCACCTGCCAGACTGGGACCTCACCAATGCGCTCGAGCGCTATGGTGTCCTCACCAGCCCCTGGCGCAGGCTGCCCATGG